GAGATCAAGACCATCCTGGCTAACATGGTGAAACCCCGTTTCTACTAAAAAAATACAAAAAAAAAAAAAAAAAAAAAAAATTAGCTGGGCATGGTGGCGGGTGCCTGTAGTCCTAGCTACTCAGGAGGCTGAGGCAGAAGAATGGCGTGAACCTTGGAGGTGGAGCCTGCAGTGATCTGAGTTCACGCCAGTGCACTCCAGCCTGGGCGACAGAGCGAGACTCCATCTCAAAAAAAAAAAAAAAAAAAAAGCATGTATTTACAACCTAGAGTTCCACTGAACCTTAGATGGCAGACTCTAGTGTCAAGGGTGGTGCCTTTTTAAATTCAGGACCAGGCCAGGCATGTTGGCTTACCGTAATCCCAGCACTTTGGGAAGCCAAGGCAAGTGGATCACTTGAGGTCAGGAGTTCGAGACCAGCCTGGCCAACATGGTGAAAACCCATCTCTACCAAAAATACAAAAATTGGCTGGGTATGGTGGCACGTGCCTATAATCCCAGCTACTCAGGAGGCCGAGGCAGGAGAATCGCTTGATCCTGGGAGGTGGAGATTGCAGTGAGCTGAGATTGTGCCACTGCACTCCAGCCTGGGCTACAGAGCCAGATCCTATCTAAAAATAATAATAATAATAACAATAATAAATTCAGGACCAAATGGAGGGGCAGGTTGCTCAACCACGGAACTGGTCCCTCCCAGTTCCATCATATTTTAGGATAGAGTAATCAAAAACTGAAATGAAAATGAAAACAAATGAAAGCAGAGGATAAGATTTTTAGTTTAGTTTACTATTTCTCACTCATTCGTTTAACAAAGGTTTTTGTTTTGTTTTGTTTTGTTTTTTTGAGATGGAGTCTTGCTACACCCAGGCTGGAGTGAAGTGGTTCAATCTCGGCTCACTACAACCTCCACCTTCCGGATTTAAGTGATTCTCCTGCCTCAGCCTCCCAAAGTAGCTGGAATTACAGATGTGCATCACCATGCCTGGCTAATTTTTGTATTTTTAGTAGAGTTGGGGTCTTGCCATGTTGGCCAGGCTGGTCTCGAACTCTTGATCTCATGTGATCTGCCTGCCTCAGCCTCCCAAAGTGCTGGGATTACAGGCATGAGCCACTGCACCTGGCCAGAGCTTTAAGTTAGTACCTTTGCATTGTTCTAAGCACTAAGCTGGGGTATCTTGTTACAACAGCAATAGGAAGCTAATGCCATTCCTCATCCCCTTTATAAAGCACCCTGCAGTATTGGGGGCAGCCCTCAGAGGACCAGGGTCTGACTGTGTGCTGGGTCCACAGAAGCTGCATGGCTTGGGGCAACGGACTGTGTCATGCCGAGACTCGTCCATGTGTAGCAGATGGGGACAGCAGTGTTTACCTCACAAAGCTGTAAGAATTAAACTATGTCAAATAGCCGTGACATAGGCTCTTAGTAAGGGGAAGCTGTTTACTATGATCTATGTCATCACTATTTATTTACTTATTTTTAAAACACGTTTCTTAGCCTGGGAAACATGGTGAGGCCCCATCTCTACTAAAAATAAAAGAAAGAAAGAAATAAAAAATACCCGGGCCTGGTGGTGCACCCCTGTGATCCCAGCTGTTGAGAGGCTGAGGCTGAGGTGGGAAGATCGCTTGACCCTGGGGGTTGGAGGCTGCAGTGAGCCAAGATCATGCCACTGCACTCCAGCCTGGGTGACAGAGAAAGACCCTGCTTAAAATACATACATGCATACATACATACATACATAAAATGCTTTTCTTTAATTAGGAAGTGGATGGCAGAGAGGGACCTCGTTTAGAATCAGGATGCAGGGAGGGAAAGGGATCACAGGATGCCACGGAGGAGGAATGAGAAGTTCTATTCTAGGGAGCAAGGCAGTGGCCCCGGCTGCCCTCCCTCTCCCCTTTCTCCTGGTCCAGCAGAGTCACCACCAAGCTCCTCAACCGTTAGCTACCACACTCAGGAATTCTCTCTGCTCCATCTTCCTTAGCCCTACCAAGCCCTGCTTTTTCTCCATCTAAACCCACCCATAAGCCAGGGGTTTTGTTTTTCCTTCTCCATCATGATTCAGGTGTCTTTGGTTATATTTGCTTATATTTGGTCATTCTGGCCTTCCTTGTGCAACATAGATGTCCTGTCTAGATAGGTCTTGAGTTCTCGGTCACATACTGTAGTGAAGTGTGTCTTTGCTCATGTTAGGCTGGGCCCCAGCAACCACTTCTGCACCATGTACCTCATTTCCCATGGCTGTAAGGAGTTCATTGGCTCAGGCTGGACACCTTATGCAAGCCAGGAATTGGGATTTGTCACCTAGACAGCCCTACTCTGAACTGGCTGGAACCATACCATCACTCCCTACCAGCCATATTCCATCAGGTTAGGGGGAGGGAGGAGCCAAGAACCAGCAGACATCTAGGGAAATGGCTCAGTGGTTTCATGGTTCCCTGATGTAATGTATTCCCCACCACCCCCCACCTCCCCACTTCCCTTTTTTTTTTTTTTTGAGAGCTCTGTCACCCAGGCTGGAGTGCCGTGGTGCAAACACAACTCACTGAGGCCTCACCCCCCCGGTCTCAAGCAATCAGTCCTCTCACCTCAGCCTCCCAAGTAGCTGGGACTACAGGGACACACCACCAACCTTTGTATTTTGAGTTTTTTATAGAGATGGGGCTTCACTACATTACCCAAGCTGGTCTCAAACTCCTAGGCTCAAGCGATCTGCCTGCCTCGGCTTCCCAAAGTGCTGGGACTATAGGTGTGAGCCACTGCACCTGGCTGATTTGTGTCATGCATGTCCATGTGAAGAGACCACCAAACAGGCTTTGTGTGAGCAACAAGGCTGTTCATTTCACCTGGGTGCAGGAGGGCTGAGTCCAAAAAGAGAGTCAGCAAAGGGTGGTGGGATTATCACTGGTTCTTATAGGTTTGGGGATAGGCAGTAGAGTTAGGAGCAATGTTTTGTGGCCAGGGGGTGGATCTCACAAAGTACATTCTCAAGGGTGGGGAGCATTATAAAGAACCTTCTTAAGGGTGGGGGAGATTACAAAGTACATTGATCAGTTAGAATGGGGCAGAAACAAATCCCAATGGTGGAATGTCATCAGTGAAGGCTATTTTCACTTCTTTTGTGGATCTTCAGTTGCTTCAGGCCATCTGGATGTATACGTGCAGGTCACAGGGGATATGATGGCTTTGCTTGGGCTCAGAGACCTGACATTTGTGAGTTCTTATTGTCCCCACTAGGCCAACTCACTAAACCTACCAGATGTTTGCACAGTCAGTATCCTCATAGGAAAGGACCAATGAAATGGGATGGGGACTAATACATGCTGAGTACACCTGGCTTCTAGTCATTCCTCACAGTCATCCAATGAGGCAGGTGGTATTTTTCTCATTCGACAGATGAAGAACTAAGGTTCAGTCAGAGAGGTCAAGTAACCTGCCCAGTATCTCACAGGTAAATTGTAGTGGATTCCTTCTGATTCTAGAGCTCACCTTAAAATAAATAAAGGCCAGGAGCTGTGGCTCACGCCTGTAATCCCAACACTTTGGGAGGCCAAGGCGGGTGGATCACCTGAGATCAGGAGTTCGAGGGAAGCCTGGCCAACATGGCATAACCCCGTCTCTACTAAAAACACAAAAATTAGCTGGGTATGGTGGCACGCGCCTGTAATCCCAGCTACTCAGGAGGCTGAGGCAGGAGAATCACTTGAACCTGGAGGGTGGAGGTTGCAGTGATTGTGGTACCATGCGCCTGTAGTCCCAGCTACTAGGGAGGCTGAGGCAGGAGGATCACTTGAGTCTGGTAGTTTGTAGTTGCAGTCAGCTATGATTGCACCACTGCACTCCAGCCTGGGGCAACAGAATGAGACCCTGTCTCAAAAACAACAACAGGAAACTACAAAGAAGGAAGGAAGGAAGGAAGGAGGGAGGGAGGGAGGGAGGGAGGGAAGGAGGGAGGGAGGGAAGGAAGGAAAGAAGGAAGAAAAGCTAATAAAAAGGCTACCTATGTTGTAAAAGGGAGTTTGTTCCTAAAATCAGCCTCCCCAGGAACTCAGAGGCCAGGGTTTTTATGGATAATTGGGGCAGAGGTGCTGCTGATTGGTTGGGGATCAGATCACAGGGTGTGGAAAGCAGTCCTTCTGCACTGAGTCAGCCTCTGAGCAGGGTCATGAGTCACGAGGCCGGGTGGAGTCAGTCAGTTGCCGGAAAGCAGAAGTCATCTCCAAAGACCGATCGCAGGTTCTATAATCATGACGTCATCTACAGGAGCAATTGGGGAAGTAACAAATCTTGTGACCTCTGGCCACATAACTCTTGAGCAGTAAGAGATTATAGAAAGGCAAGCCAAAGAACAATGGCTGATTATACATTAACTATGCCTACATTTTAGCAGAATTCAGGCCCCTCGCATAATCCTAATCCTGTAGCCTTTCTTCAGTCTCACAAAGGTGGTTTCAGTCCCTGAACAAGGAGGGGGTCCGTTTTAAGGAGGGACTATTATTATCCTTGCTTCCAAGCTTAACTGTAAACTAAATTCCTCCAAAGGCTAGCTTGGCCTGTGCCCAAGAATGAGAGAGGACAGCCAGCCTGTGAGGCTAGAAGCAAGATGGAGTCAGCCATGCCAGGTGTCTTCCATGGTCATAATCTTTGCAAAGGTGGCTTCATAACTGAAGTTGTAAGTCCAGTGCAGCTGATTCGATGGCACTATGGTCACTTAGGAAACACTGTTCTAGAGGTCGCTGCAGCCATTGGGGTGTGGGCTTCAGAGGATTCACCCATGAATACACACTGTCGATATTGTTCCAGCTTTTTGACTCCTTACCTAGGTAGATACTTGGTCTACTAGGAGATGGCCCGGGGGCCTACCAGAGGAAAAATGATTCTCTGAATTGCAACATGTCCTCTCTCCCAACCCCCAGAAGATGAGCTGTTTTTAACTTTCACCTAAGGCTAACTGACCCTGTAATCCTTAGATTGTCATCAGTGATTCTTTTCTTCATAGATCACAGGGGGAAGAATGTGAGTCTTAGGAAAAGCATGACCACAAGGACTGCCATGATCTAGCTCCTGACTACCACATCGGCCTCAACTCCACGCCTGTGCTGATTTTGTGTTCTAATGACTCCAGACTGTTCGTGGACCTACACTCACAATGCTGGTTTGTTTGTTTTTTTTGTTTTTTTTTTTTTTTTGGAGACAGGATTTTGTTCTGTCACCCAACTGAAGTGTAGTGGTACAATCTTGGCTCACTGCAACCTCCCTGGCTCCCGGAATCCTCCCACTTTAGCCTCCTGAGTAGCTGGGACTACAGGCGTGCACCATCATGCCCAGCTAATTTTTGTCTTTTTAGTAGAGTCGGGGTTTCACCATGTTACCCATTCTGGTCTTGAGCTCCTGGGCTCAAGCAATCCTCCTGCCTCAGCTTCCCAGAATGCTGGAGTTACAGGTATGAGCCTCCGCACCCCACCTTCATAAGGCTGCTTCTCATCTCCAAGCCTCTGCTTGTGCTGTTCCCTCCCTGTGCCCAGGACACATACTAATACCCTATCTAAACATTTTTGAGAAGCTTAATGCTTACTCGTCATCCAAGATTCATTTAGGGTGTCATGTCCTCTGGGAGCCTCCTCACTCCTGCGCTGGTCAGGTTCCACTATCTGTGTACCCACGATGGTTTTCCTTACAATTCTCTCTCATTTACGAAATCAAATTATGAAATCTGTTTAGTGGTCCATGTTTGTCTTTAGACTGTGAGCCTTTGAGTACAGGGCTACTTCTTATACATTTCATTATTTCTAGCGCTTATTCCAGTACCTGGCACATACTAGAGGTTCACTCAATAAATGTTTATTTGTTTATTTATTTATTTTCAGAGATGGGGACTTGCTATATCTCCCAGGCTGAAGTGCAGTGGCACGATCATAGCTCACTGTAGCCTCCAGCTCCTGGGCTCAACTGATCCTCCTGCCTCAGCCTCCCGAGTAGCTGGGACTACAGGCACAAGCCAATACACCTGGATAATTTTTGTTTTGTTTTGTTTTTGGGTGTTTTTCTGTTTTGTTTTGTTTTGAGATGGAGTCTCGCTCTGTCGCCCAGGATGGAGTGCAATGGTGCAATCTCCACTTACCACAACCTCTGCCTCCCGGGTTCAAGCGATTCTTCTGCCTCAGCCTCCTGAGTAGCTGGGACAACAGGCACCCGCCACTATGCCCAGCTAATTTTTGTATTTTTGGTAGAGATGGGGTTTTGCCATGTTGGCCAGGCTGGTCTCAAATTCCTGACATTGTGATCTGCCCACCTCAGCCTCCCAAAGTGCTGGGATTACAGGCGTGAGCCACTGCACCCGGCCATTTTTTAAATTTTTTAAGAGACAGAGTCTCACTGTCTTGCCCAGCTGATTCCAAATTTCTGGCCTCAAGCAATCCTCTCACCTTGTCCTCCTGGGTATCTGGGACTATAGGCAGGAGCCACTGTCCCCAAAAATAAATGTTTATAAATGAATGAGATTTAACTGCTTGGGACCTGTGTGACCTTGTCAAATCACTTAACCTTCTGGAGTCTAAGCTTTCTTTATGTGTGTAATAAGCTAATGATACCTCCTCCCTAAGACTGGCATGAGAATAAAATGAGATAATGTATATAAAAGCATTTAGCATGGCACCTGGCTAATAGGAGATGACCAATAATTTTTTAAGAGCTAAAAGAGGATTCAAGAAGTTATCTCAAAAATGAAATCAAGTTGGAAATTTGAAAATTCTTTGAACTGAATGACAATAATGACACAACCTATAAAAACCTCTGGGATACAGCAAAGGCAGTGCTAAGAGGAGAGTTCACAACCCTAAAGGCCTATATCAAAAAAGACTGAAAGAACACAAACTGACATTCTAAGGTCACACCTCAAGGAACTAGAGAAACAAGAACAAACCAAATGCAAACCCAGCGGAAGAAAGTAAATAACCAAGATCAGAGCAGAACTAAATGGAACTGAAACAAACAAACAAAAAAATACAAAAGATAAATGAAACAAAAAGCTGGTTCTTTGAAAAGATAAATAGAATTGATAGACCATTAGCAAGATTAAACAAAAAAAGAAGAGATAAAATCCAAATAACCTCATTAAGAAACAAAACAGGAGATATTACAATTGACACCACTGAAATACAAAAGATCATTCAAGGCTACTATGAACATCTTTATGCACATAAACTAGAAAACCTAGAAGAGATGTATAAATTCCTGGAAAAACACAGCCCTCCTAGCTTAAATCAGGAAGAACTAGACATCCTGAACAGACCAATAACAAGCAGTGAGATTGAAATCGTCATTTAAAAATTACCAACAAAAAAAGTCCAGGACCAGACAGATTCACAGCAGAATTCCACCAGACATTCAAAAAACAATTGGTACCAACCCTTTGACACTATTCCACAAGATAGAGAAAGAAGGAACCATTCCTAATTCATTCTATGAAGCCAGCATCACCCTAATACCAAAACCAGTAAAGGACATAACCGAAGAAGAAAACTACAGACTGATATCCTTGAGGAAACATAGATGCTAAAATCCTTAACAAAATACCAGCTAACCAAATCCAAGAACATATCAAAGCTAAATTGATATTTTAAAAATACTAGCTAATCAAATTCAACAACATATCATATTCATCCCTGGTGTGAAACCTGCCATGATCAAGTGGGTTTCATACGAGGGATGCAGGGATGGTTTAACATATGCAAGTTAATAAATGTGATACACCCCATAAACAGAATTAAAAACAAAAATCACATGAGCATCTCAATAGATGCAGAAAACGCATTCAACAAAATCCAACATCCCTTTATGATTAAAACTCTCAGCAAAATCGGCATACAAGGGACATACCTCAATGTAATAAAAGCCATCTATGACAAACCCACAGCCAACATAATATTGAATGAGGAAAAGTTGAAAGCATTCCCTCTGAGAACAGGAATGAGACAAGGATGCCCACTCTTACCACTTCTCTTCAACATAGTACTAGAAGTCCTAGCCAGAGCAATCAGACAAGGGAAAGAAATAAAGAGCACCCAAATTGGTAAAGAGGAAGTCAAACTGTCACTGTTTGCTGACGATATGATCATTTACCTTGAAAACCCTAAAGATGCCTCCAGAAAGCTCCTAGAACTGATGAAAGAATTCAGCAAAGTTTCCAGATACAAGATTAAGGTACACAAATCAGTAGGTCTTCTACACACCAACAGCGACCAAGCAGAAAATCAAATAAAAAACTCAACCCCTTTTAAAATAGCTGCAAAAAAAATAAAATAAAATAAGACATTTAGGAATATACCTACCCAAGGAGGCAAAAGACCTCTACAAGGAAAACTACAAACCACTGCTTAAAAAAAATCATAGATGACACAAACAAATGGAAACACATCCCATGCTCATGGATTAGTGGAATCAATATTGTGAGAATGACTATACTGCCAAAAGCAAGCTACAAATGCAATGCAATCCCCATCAAAATATCACCACCATTCTTCACAGAATTAGAAAAAAACAATTCTAAAATGCAAATGGAACCAAAAAAGAGCCTGCATAGCCAAAGCAAGACTAAGCAAAAAGAACAAATCTGGAGGTATCATACTACCTGATTTCAAACTATACTATAAGGCCATAGTCACCAGAACAACATGGTGTAAAAATAGGCACATAGACTAATGGAACAGAATAGAGAACCCAGAAATAAACCCAAATACTTACAGCCAACTGATCTTCAATAAAGCAAACAAAAACAAAGTGGGGAAAGAACACCCTTTTCAACAAATGGTGCTGGGAAAATTGGCTAGCCACAGTAAGGTCCTCCGAGCTGGCCACACCATGGTCAAGCCACCACGACATTCCCCCGCCCTTGTGATAATGTACTTTGTGATATTCCCCCCTCCTTGTGAATGTACCTTGTAACATTCCTCCCCTCCCTTGTAATAATACATCCTCCCTGCCCTTGTGACTATACTTTGTAACATCCTCCCCACCCTTGAGAATGTACTTTGTAACATCCATCCCCTGCCTGCAAAAAATTGCTCCTAACTCCACCACCCATCTCAAACCTATAAGAACCAATGATAATCCCACCACCCTTCACTGACTCCTTCCTCAGACTCAACCCACTTGCACCCAAGTGAATAAACGGCCTTGTTGCTCACACTTAGCCTGCTCAGGTGTTCTCTTACACAGATGTGCATAATAGCCACAGGTACGAGAATGAAACTGGATCCTCATGTCTCACCTTATACAAAAGTCAACTCGAGATGGATTAAGGACTTAAATGTAAAACCTGAAACTATAAAAATTCTAAGAGATAGCATTGGGAAAACTCTTCTAGACATTGGCTTAGGCAAGGATTTCATGATCAAGAACCCAAACGCAAGTGCAATAAAAACAAAGATAAATAATTGGGACTTAATTAAAGAGCTTTTGCACGGCAAAAGGAAGAGTCAGCAAACAGACAACTCACAAAGTGGGAGAAAATCTTCACAATCTATACATCTGACAAAGGAGTAATATCCAGAATCTGCAACAAACTCAAATAAATCAGTAAGAAAAAAACAAACGCCCGGCACGGTGGCTCACACCTGTAATCCCAGCACTTTGGGAGGCCAAGGCAGGCAGATCACGAGGTCAGGAGATTTGAGATAATCCTGGCTAACACGGTGAAACCCCGACTCTACTAAAGATACAAAAAATTAGCTGGGCGTGGTGGCAGGCACCTGTAGTCCCAGCTACTCAGGAGGCTGAGGCAGGAGAATGGCATGAACCCGGGAGGCGAAGCTTGCAGTGAGTGGAGATTGCGCCACTGCACTCCAGCCTGGGTGACAGAACGAGACTCTGCCTCAAAATAAAATAAAATAAAAAATAAAGAAAAACAAACAATCCCATCAAAAAGTGGGTTAAGGACATGAATAGACAATTCTCAAAAGAAAATATACAAATGGCCAACAAATATATGAAAAAATGCTCAACATCATTAATGATCAGGGAAATGCAAATCAAAACCACAATGCAATACCACCTTACTCCTGCAAGAATGGTCATAACCAAAAAGTCAAAAAACAGTAGATCTTGGCATGGATGCAGTGATCTGTGTACACTTCGACACTGCTGATGGGAGTGTAAACTAGTACAGCCACTATGGAAAACAGTGTGGAGATCCCTTA